CAATGGTGACATGGGGGAGATCGTGGAGTCAGCAGCTAATGAAAACTGCAGAAACTAGGATGAAATTGAGATGGAGATTTGCCACTGTGAAGCCGTATGTTCCCCTCGGAACCCAAAAGAAGTAGTAATCATAATCATAATAATAATAACAATTTTAACAACAATGGCGGTGGGGGCATAACTACTCAATGGCTTCATCAATCGAATTTAAGCCGAAAGATGACCACTTCGAGATTCACTCAGACCAATTCAGTCTAGGCAACCGGGGTGGGATCATTAGACTTCACAGGAATAAGTGTGGAGCATAGTGTGCAAATGAAAAGCAACAAGCTGGGAGAAGAAGAATCAAAGATAGGACATCACTTCAGGTGAACATAGATAAAACAGAGGTGATGAAGATTCCTGTCTGTCTGTCTGTTTTCGACATAGAACTTTGCACAAATGTGCGGAAGTTCAAGTCGCCACACTCCGTGTAGCACGCGAAGCAAGAGAAGAAAGTACACGAAAAGCATAATAGAAACAGTGAGCAGAGGTGTGAGACAAAGGAGTAATAAAGAAATACAAAACAGTTTCATTGGAGATCATAAGTCACAGGGAGTGGATGCATCTGCGCCACTGAGAACGATTTTGAGTCATGTCACCAATTGTTTCCAACCATAGATTTTTACCGTCCCGAGGACCCCAGCCTGGAAGTCTACACCTTCCTACGTGGCCTAGACCAACTGTTGTGGATTTCATTGACTGGTGAATCCATGTTTTTGTTTGACCGCCGCTAGCTTTTTTCCAGCCTGACCCTATATCCGCTAACATTGCTCGTCGAGGGAGGCGATGGCTTGGCATACGTAACACATGTCCTGACCATCTCAGTCTTTGTAACTTCACAGCTTCGTCGATTGATTTCCCCTGTTTACCTAGAACTCGACGCCTAACTTCAATGTTGCTCACCTTATTATGCCACTTCACACGGGTAATAGAACGCAGGCACCTATGATCAAAGGCAGCTAGTATTTTCATGTCTTCCACTCTCAGTGGCCAGGTCTCATAACCATAAAGGAGGACGGAGCGGACTGATGAGCAGTACACCCGCCCTTTGGTCGATAGTCGAACATCTCGTCTACGCCAGAGTCGGTGTAAACTGGCAAATGCGAAACGAGCCCCTTGTATTCGTGATGAGATTTCGTCAGCGATCAACCCGTTGGCATTGGCTGATGGTACTTCCCAAATAAGTGAAGCGGTCAACGTGCTCTACCACTTCACTTCCTATTTTTAAACTAGGCGTCGAAGATTCCTGGCCAACAGCAACAACATCAGACAACAATCAGCCAACGTAAATGGGAGGAACCTGTAAGAAACAACCTCCTTCACCTACCGACCTGGGAAGCATCGTTTCAACTACAGGCGAACGGAACTGACTAGGATATCAAAGCCAGAATCGGGAAAGCAAGACAAGCTTTCATTACTCCTAAGTCTGTGTGGAGGTCAACACTCAGCGCTCAGCATCAAAAATAAAATCCGGATCTTCAACTCCAATGTGAAGTCAGTCAGTGCTACTATACGGATCAGAGACTTGGACAGCGCGTCATAAAGAGCATCTCAAACAAACTTCAGACCTTCATCATATTACAGTTGTCTTCGCTCAACACCACTCAAGATCAGATGGCCGGCCAGAAAACATCAGCAACAGGGATCTCTGGCAATGAGCGAACCAACACAGCAGGAACCGATTGTGGAACAAATACGCAGGAAGAAATGGAGGCGGATTGGCCATACGCTGAGGAAACCATCAAGTGACATCACTAGACAAGCCATTGCTCGAGTGGAACCCGACGGTATGGAAAGCGGTGAGTTGGTCGTCATTCCGAGGGTGGGGTGACTTGGAGGAGGTCATGTGAGGAGGAGGAGATGAAAGCATGTGGGCAGACTTGGAGCGAGGTGAAAACGTTGGCAGAAAACCGAAGGCAATGGAGACGCGCAGCTGAAGCCCTATGTTCCTCTAGGAATTAAAGGATATAATAATAAATAATAGTGTGCAATTAAGCCAAAATAAATTCTGGGCCGAATAGTTCAGCTGTGAGCAGTAGTAGTAGTAGTGGCAGGAGGAGGAGGAGGAGAGTGAGGTGTAAAACGCCTAAACACAATTGACAGGTAAACCTTTAATCAATATTTTTTGCTCTTTCTTTTTCTGAAACGATTTTTTTCCTGGTTAGTAGTCAAAAACTTTTAAGCGAGGCAACCAGAGATTGAAACTTGTCAAATCATAAGTAGTAAACAATATGCCTTATATAATCGCTTAATGTTGTTTTGGTTTGAAAGACTACTATTCTACTAACGATTGAAGAACTCCAACATGTTTGACATATTTATTATTATAATTTAAAACAAGAACAAGCATGCAAAGAAATGCAGGGAATAGTCATTTAGGTAGAGTTGTTTATTTTTCATTGCTATTCTGTGATTGAGATCTTATTCGCTGAACTGATTGACTGACTGACTGATTGATTGCACTCACCGCTGATCATCGAAAACGCATTGATTTTTGCTTTACTTAAGACGGAGTGCAGAAGCGTCAGTAGTTCGGTGGTGGAATGCACGCCTGCTTACACACACACACACCCAATAGGTGCAAATTCCATTCCCGATTAAAAAATACACACTTAAGCCTTGCCTATATACTTTTTCCTTAACGTTCCCAGTGGAACATAGGGCTTCAAGCTAGTGGCTTGAAGTTTCTGTAGTAGTGTTTATTATTTTTACAGGATTGGGTTGCCAACCCCATGCCCAACTTTCCCTCTTTACCAGCTTTATTTCTGGCTTAGCGAGGTAAAGGAGTGCGTCCAGTGGCCGGGGATCGAACCCCAGACCATGTTCATGGTCGGCGGGCGTCCTAACCGCTGTGCCACCGATGCATTTGCCTACATTACTAACTGGTATTATGCCCGGTGAAGAAGGAAGGTTGGAGGTTAGTGCTGAGGGTGTTAGTTGGTAACCCTCACGCCACCTCCCACCATCCTGTAAAATGATAGATACAGTAGGAGAATGCTACTGAAGTCTCAAAGTCTAAAGTTGAAGGCTTACGTTCCGCTCCGACAGCAGGGGAATGAAAAGTAGAACTGGTATGTCATTCCATATAATAATTTGTTTATTAGATATATCACACACACACAGCCTGTGAAACAGTGTTATTATTGTTTACTGGATGACACAGTTTCGAACACAATGTATTTTTGTTCTCAATAATAATCATAAAACTTGAGTTTTATAGTTTTCTTTATTCTCTACTATTTGTCGCAGGGTTGACGTGCATGTAACACATGACAACTGTTTGTCTATCTGGTTTCAACAAAAAACTTTCCACCGATGTGCATCAGTTCGAGTCACCACACTTCACTCAGAACACAAAGCCAGAGAAGAAGAAAGTAAAAGAAACGCAAAACAGAGAAAGTAAATAGAGACATAAGGCAAAAAGAATAGTAATATCGATGCATCTGCGCCAGTCGCCTAGGACGAGGATTTTGAGCCATATCACCGATTGTCTCTAGCCATTGATTTTTACCGTCCCGAGGACCCCAACCAGGAAGTCTACACCTTCATACGTGACTGGCTTAAACTAACTGTTGTGGATTTCATTGACTGATGAAGCCATATTTTGGTTTCACCACCACTGGCTCTTTTCCAACCTGACCCTATATTAGCTAATATTAATAGTCGAGGATGTTGGCGGCTAGACTTAAGTAACACATGTCCTAACCGTCTCAGTCGATGTAACTTCACAACTTCGTCGATTGATTTCCCCTAATTACCTAGAACTCGACGCCTAACCTCAATATTGCTCACCTTATTATGCCACTTCATACGGATACATGACTACACCAACAATATGGAATCTAAATCATCAATAGTACTTTCATACAAAGAATCGACCACGGAAACCATCTTAAAGAATATTCTTAACAATGCAAGCAGGAATAAAAGTGACTGGCATTCAAACCGCCAACAAACTCAATTAGAAACAAGCTTTGTCGGTTAACGGATCAATCCTGTGGAGCCTTTAAAACAAAACGATTTCGTTTATCTAATATACCCCGCCTGCAATGATTGTCAGGTCAAATACATAGGTCAAACTAGTAGAACAGGTGCAGTCAGTCAGAGTAGCTGAGCATAAAAACCTAGCAGCAAAATCTATATTAGTTCACCCGAATAATATAAGAAATCTAGCGAATATTCCAGCTATACTACTCACTACATGCAATTACACACAACCGAACATACAATAGGATGGGATAGGATGACAGTTTTAAAATCTAATGTCACAGGGTGGAGGAAGAGATTGATGACAGAAGGTTTGATTATCGAATCAGCTGAGGCAAATACATGTAATAGGAATGATCCAACACCTGTCCAGTCAGACATCTGAAAAATTAATATGGAATTACATACATACTATCACAATGCCCAGTTTATATATTAAGGAATGTCACTTACTTGGAAGGCTAATAAAATCACAGTAGTACACACCCACAGCCAGGGTTCAAACCCATGACCCTCTGGTTACAAAGCGAGCTACCTAATACACGATTAAGACCATGACTTCTACCTCCTGCCAATTCACGGCATAGCGCGACCCCCAGCCAACGTCTTCGGCGAGTATTTGTCCTCACACCCGACCTGCTGTATCCTACTGGTTACGGCTTCCCACAAGAACTCTGGTAACTACCCACCTGAATAGGTCCAATCACCAGTGAGCATCTTATCGATATCCAAGCATTGGTTTAAAGGGATATGATTGGTTGGTTAAAGGTTACTGCTGAAGAGTACCAAGTTAGGAAGAAAAACATGACTGTCCAGTACTCGCTGGCTGTTTTTCCAATGGTCCTCTAACCAATGTCGTCAGCTCATGATGAAATCCTGTAATCAACCAATCAACCGAATCCCTACAAACCACTTACTTGAAAATCACAATATAAAAAAAAAAGATTGATCAAACGCTTACACAAACTAACCTTTTGACAGAGTAGATTATATACAGATTGACGTAATGGGAAGATAATTAATGGGACAGAGACAATATTTGTTAGCAGGAATCCAACACGTATACAAAAACTACGAAAATCATCTGGATACATTAAAAACACGTTGCCAGAAAATACTGTCCTTTTAGAAGTATGATGATTACTGGCAGTGTAGTTGGTGCTGAAAAATGCTGCATATCCAAAGAATCCAAACTACATAAATTGGGCGGCGGCGGAGGGGGGGCGGAGATTTAAACAAACAAATAAAATACAACCTGAAGAAAAATATTTATTGTTTTAGAAACACAATAATAGAAAATAAAAACAGAGAAATAGCTTCCACAAACCATCTGATACAGCTGGGAGTGGGTGGGTGGGGTGTTGTGGTTATACTTTGGCCTCCCTCTCGAAATTCTCTCTCAAACGGCCACGTGCTCAAAGCCTCTTTCAGAAAAGTCGTTTTCAACGCCTTCATGCCACGGCGGGAGTGTTCCGCACGAAAGTGAAAGGTTGGAATCCGAACATCTGGCGTTTACACACCCCTGGCTGGTGAACGGACATGCTGATCTACCCAGTAGGGGGTCTAGAATCCGAACAGACTCGAAAGGCGTGTATAAACCTGTTTAGGTCACTGAAGACAATCGGGATGCAGCTCCAATACCTTGTAGATCAGACTTCAAGTCAAGGGCTCTGGAGTGGGGTGGACCTTTAACATAACCACTTGATTCGGTCTGGCAGTTCGGGCAGAAAGTGTCCTGGCCCTCAAGCAAACTGTGAGATTCTGTGTTCAATAGATCATGCAACGAAGTTATGAATGTTTCCTTGTATGTGATAGGCAAGTCTGCTTATCTATTTAGTGATTTTATTCCAGCTATTTCTGTTTTCTGATTGGTCGACCACTTTGTGTGATGTATCTCTTGGTTGTAGACAGATTAAAAGATGCTCTGGATGCTAAACACCATTCAGAACAAGCTGGATTCAGGAAAATCAAATCATGTGTGGATCTAATTGCAACTTTACCCAATATCATTGAACATAGCCTGGAATGGCAGAGTCAAATCTCCACCTCAACTTCATGGAATTTGAAAAGACCACGAAGTAATTTGGGAACTGTTCCAACACAACGGAGTGCTCATTGATTTGACGATATTAGACAGTTGGAGGTAATCAGCCATAGGAAGCCTTGGACCTAGGTTTCGTGCTATTTGGCACTCGTCAGCAAGCCATATCTGCAACCTTGAAGGAACTCATGTCCCTTCTGAGATTCGAACCCGCGTCACCCAGTGAATACTGCAGTCAGAGACGTTACCATCGAGTTATTCGGGCTCGCGATTGACCTCCTGTAGGATTGTAGTGGATATTTTGATTTGACACTAGTAAATAGTATGATGCGTCTAGTTCTCTCTTTGGTGCAGACTGAATTCTGTCAGTCAGGTTGTAATGTGGCCAACATTCTAGGTAGCTCACCATCACGGTGCACACTGATTTGGTGATATTTAATGGTTGGAGCTAATCAGCAGGAGTGCCCTAAATCTATATCAACCTGGCTATATGACGATGTCATTTTTCAAATCATTCACAATGGAAAACTCACTCAGCAAGGCGTTAGATGTGAACAGAGGAGTAAGACAAAACTGGTTGGCTGACTGTCTATTTAACATCGAAGATATTCTCAATTGTGATAGACTGACTAGATTATGCGTCAGACTGTTCATTTGGGAATGACAAGACAGGAGAATACGCTGCAATGACCGACAAGAAGACTCTAGAAAGTCTGGATTTAGCGCGTGGATGATTTATGTTTAATGTTATACAAAGGGGAAGACTTGAATGGCAGGCAAAAAACCAACAAACTGGCTGAAGAAGCGGGTAGGCAGCGAATGCAGGACTCCAGGTGAACATAGAGAAGACAGAGGTGATGAAGAAACTTAATCATCATCAATCACAAGCATGAATCAATATGAACGGGAAAAATTTGAAGGTTGTCACCTCTTTCACTTATACAGGTAATGTCGTTTCAACTGCAGAGGGTATGGATGAACACATATGAAACGGAGAATCGGAAAAGCCAAACAGACATTCATCATTCTAAAATTAGCCTGGAAATTTACTACACTTAGGATAAAGAAAAGTACAAGATTCAGGTTTTCAACATCTAATGTCCAACCACTGTTCCCATACTGTTCACCCAAAATAAACAAGCCAAATATCCAATTATTTATTTATATTATATTTATATAAACGCAGAAAAAACTTGGTACAATATGGCACCAAGAAAGATGCACCGCACTTATGTGAGGGCTGAGATACTGCCCGGGCGCCCAGACCGAAGCAGGAGGTCTTCTTAAGGGACCACCCCACGAGCCTTTGACTTAGTGTCTAATCCGCAAGGCAGCGGAGCAGCGTCATGAGCTGCATTAGCATGGTTGCCGGTGACTCATATGGGTCCATACGCCATTTGATCTCATTGGATTCTGGATCCCATGTACCCCACGGTAACTGCTTTTAGTACAACCACTATCCAAACAACCTTCCTGACACGGTAGGACCTGCAGGGACATGAGTCCTAGCCAGTTTAGCTTGTTGGATCACTGCGGTATTCAAGCCCGACCACCACGGCAAGGTAGCAGTTGTCGGCCGGGTAAATATCCAATTACGACCAACTGTATTACTCCCAGGAACTTCAACATACAATTTATCCAAAGAATTATACAGAAAATTAAAATCTTGTGGCCACTTCATCAACTCTGTTATCCAATTCCTAGAGAAAATCAGAGGCATCCAAATAGATGAACAAGAGATAATGATATCCTTCGATGTCACAGCATTATATACCTCAATCAGACAAAAACTAGCAAAACAAACCGCGGAGCAACTACTTAGCAACGATGGACACCTCCCACAACAATTAAAAATGCAACACACAAGTTGGATGGAATGTATAAACCTATGCCTAACAACGTACTTCCAATTCCACAGCTAAATATATGAACAAGTCAAAGGAACATCCATGGGATCACAAATATCAGGTTTGATTGCAGAAATAGTGATGCAAAGGCTCGAAAACATAATCCTAACAAAGATCAAACCTGAAATTTGGATACGTTACGTAGATGACAAATTTGTAATAATCAAAAGAAACGAGTTGGATAAAATTCACAACTTAATAAACAACGTCTTCAACGACATAAAATTCACAAGAGAGAAGGAATTCGGGAGTAAAATCCTAATTTTGGATGTCTTAGTCAAGCGAACAACCACAGGAAAATTAGAAACGCAAGTTTATGGAGAATCGACTCACACAGACCAAATACTGAATTGCAACAGCAACAATCTAATAACACACAAAAGGAATTGTATACAAACACTATTCAAGAGGGGCAGGACTCATTGCAGTACTCCCACCTTAAGGAAAGTTGAAGAAAGTTATCTCATGGATGTCTTCCAAAACAATGGATATCCACGGAATTGCATCAAAAGACATATACCTCCAAGCCCACCTATCAAATCAGAGGCCCCCCAAAAAAAGCAGAAAGAAAATCGCCCTACCGTACATAGAGGATATCTCAGAAATCACTGCAAGACTCTTCAAACCTTTAGGAATTGACGTCGTACACAAACCAACAAAATCACTTCACTCAGCCAGCTCTATGTCAACCAAAAAACTCCACAACGAAAGAAACCAACATCGTCTACAAAATAAGTTGCAACGACTACGAAAAACACTACATTGGCCAAGGTCGACGTCCATGGACATAAGCTAGTCATCAAAATACATGACATCCACTACCTCACTCATATCGCCTCACTGTGTACAGACAACCACGAACATCAATTCGACTGGGGCAACCAGTATTCAAATATTAGACAGAGGAAACACAAAGAATCCTAGAGAATTTTTAGAAGACTGTCTGGTATTCCAGTGAATCGTAAATTACTAGACACATAAAGGTAGACAAAATTTACCAAGGGTAAAAGTTCAAGTGAAGGAAACAATCAACACCAATACAAGTATCCTGGATGATGTGAAAATACACAAAAACAACCCATCACTTTCAACGTCACCCACCAGGAGAGATAACTGATGGTGAACTCGTGGAGAAATCTAAAAGCTCACTTCAACTCAAATTGAAGTATGCGCTGAAGATGTTGCTTAGCAAGTAGGGCAATTAAAACTTCGCAAATAAGCCATCTAGCTACCTCACAGAACACAACCACATCAAAAACTGTTCAAAATACTTGCAACAGTATACTGTAGACTTTCATCATTCATTAACTGACTTCGCTTGACACTGAAGATCAGATGACCGACCGGTCACAAACTAAGAACCTGTTGATCAAAAATGGATAGGATACGTACTAGGGAAACTGTTCAGTGATATCACATGTCAAGTAAACCGTCGGGTGACACCCAAATGATGGAGAACAATGAGTTGAGCGTCCGAGAGTAACATGGAGGAGATCCTGTGAAGAGGAGATGGAAGCATATAGGAAAACGTGGGACCAGTTAATAAAAAGGACTTCAGAAAACAGAGTGGGATGTAGATATGCTGTTGAAATCCTTTGTTCCACCCGAATGTTCCACGTATATGACATGCGAAACTCGAGAATAGTCCTCTTAAAATTGTACAAGATATACACCATCTTGATTTCTATCACCGATTTGTCGATGATGCATATTTATAGTTGTAAAGACAGAGAGTGAGACTAAAAACATATTGGATAAATTCAATAAAGCACATCCTGGCATAAGCTTCACCAAATAAGAAGAAGACTCCATCTCCTTTTTGGAAGTCCTAATGACTAAACGAACAGACGGAACAATATGCAGAAGTTTACATAGAAAACCTACTTCCACTGGACAATATATTCACTTCTTGAGCTTCGTACCTCTACGATACAAATGTAATCTGGTTAGGTGTCTGTTCAAATGAGACAATGAACGAAGAACTCAGTAATATTAACGATCGAGTAAATAGAAACGCATATCTGACTTAATTCGTGAACAAACTCATGAACTCAAAAAGTGAAAAGTCGAAGCTACCGACTGTTCCCACAATATCAGTCTTCCTAAGATTAAAATTCACGTGTTATTGGCAACAGCGAGATCTTATCACAACGTCTGAGAGGGGTCTTCGAAAGGAATTTAAACGCAATTAAGCTATGCTGTATATTCACTAGCAGGCAAATATTTAGTTCAAGAAATTAAGACAAACTGCCCTGTTTCACCTTTTCCATGTGTATTTACTCGCCTAACTGTCCGTGTGGAGCTAATTACATGGGCCGTAAGATCTTTCAAGTCCACTGGTAAATTTCTGAACACCATCCATTTTCGTTTCGCAATACTAGCTCATCTCTTTGATACTGACTGGACATCAAGTCGACACTAACAAAGCTTGTAGAGTTATTTGTCGTATATCATCCGACCTCTCGCCGCCTGGTCTACGAGTACAACTTCTACATACATACAGCGGAGACAATGGGAACTCATCTGAACAAGCCAAATATGTGTGTGTGTTCAGAAGGAATTCTTACAGCTCCTTTCTTTTCCATGGCCAACGAAATAATATGTATTAAATATTTCAAAACTCTTTTCTCCCCTCTCCTTGTAACTATCTTTTGAATTTTGGTAATTTTAACAATTCTAGCTAGTTCTATTAATTTGTTTGTATTTTACGTAACTCTACTGGGTCATCCTATTCCTCTTAGTCATCATTGCTATTTTACAAACTTCTTGATTACGTAATAACGTGTTGTTAACGCCTAAGAATTACCGTTTCTTGAATCCCGTAATTAATTAATGTTCACCCCTTCTTCAAAACTCAGATATCGTGTTACTAATATCCATTAGTTAATTGATGTTTTGATGACCTTTTAACCTCTTAGTTTTACCCTCACCCCCCAACAACACCTAAGACTGATTGACTAAAATAACCACTTGTGATCGGTAAAACATTTTGATGTAATACACGTGTAAAATTTGAGCACTGTGGTAGTAAGTAATTCTATATTGGTTTGTTTATTAGGATGTATCACAGTCTGTGAAACAGTATTATTGTTCACCGGATGACGTTTCGAACAAAATTTATCGTTTATCATCATATCAATTATGATCACACGACTTCGAAAGTTCAGTTTTATAGTTTTCTTTGTTCTCTCCTATTTGTCGTCATCGTTAGGGTAGTAGAATTTTCCAGATGTTCTGACTGAACAGGCGTTGAATCATTCCTGTTACACGTATTTGCCACAGTTGATTCGATAAACAAACCTTCTGTAATCGATCTCTCCCTCCACCCTGTGACATTTGATTTTAAAAGTGTCATCTTATCCCATCCTATTGTATGTTTGTTTGTGTGTAATTGCATGTAGTGAGTGGCATAGCTGAACTATTCTCTAGATTTCTTATCTTATTCGGATCAACCAATCTAGATTTTGCTAGGTTTTTATGCTCAGCTACTCTGACTGACTGCACCTGTTCTACTAGTTTGACCTATGTATTTGACCTGACAATCATTGCAGGCGGGGAATATTAGATAAACTAAATCGTTTTGTTTTAAGTGCTCCACAGGATCCTTTAACCGACAAAGCTTGTTTCAGTAGTACTTCCATACAAGGAAGGAACGTCGGAAACCACCTTACGAAGAATTCTTAACAGGGCAGAAATAAAATTGGCTGGCATTCAAACTACCCACAAACTCAATTAGAAACAAGCTTTGTCGGTTAACGGATCAATCCTGTGAAGCCTTGAAAACAAAACGATTTCGTTTATCTAATATACCCCGCCTGCAATGATTGTCAGGTCAAATACATAGGTCAAACTAGTAGAACAGGTGCAGTCAGTCAGAGTAGCTGAGCATAAAAACCTAGCAGCAAAATCTATACTAGTTCACCCGAATAATATAAGAAATCTAGAGAATAGTTCAGCTATGCCACTCACTACATGCAATTACACACAAACAAACATACAATAGGATGGGATAAGATGACACTTTTAAAATCAAATGTCACAGGGTGGATGGAGAGATTGATAACAGAAGCTTTGTTTGTCGAATCATTCAATGCCTATCCATTCGGACATCTGGAAAAATTCTACTACCCTAACGATGACGACAAATAGGAGAGGACAGAGAAAGTCGTGTGATTATAATTGACGGAATGATTATGAACAAAAATACACTGTTTCCGAAACCTTATCCGGTAAATAATCCTGTTTCACAGACTGTGTGTGGGACATATCTAATAAACAAACTAATATGGAATTTTGATGTAAAGAACTGTATGTATCAATGTAGAGCCAGCCAGCCAGCCAGTTAGTCAGTCGATGAGGAGGAACAGCTAATTGAAGTAAAGCAATGGCATATTTCTTCACCTAAATTTGCTGCTTATTTATTGTTTCTAAATGCGTAAATGCAAATTTGGAGGTGACAATTTTTGACAAAACGTTGAAAGCCGAAAACATCACATTTAACATAAAGTGCAAGCTAGATTACAAACTTACAAAGCCATAGGCTACAGCAACAGTAGATAAAGCCACACGAACAACCAACCGCATATTAGAAGGCGTTGGCTGATATGAACTTGTAGATGTGACATGTAGTTGGCTGAAAAAAAAAGATAAACAAACAAACAAACAACAAAAGACATTTAAAGGACAAATTGTTTGCTGGCCTATAAATCGATCACAATTAACTGAATATTTGAAAATATCTACCCCAGTTGAGAAAAGGTGTAGGGAAGTTAGGCGGAAGATTAGAGATTCGGTAAGGGGTATGTTTATTTGCAATTTGGTAACTCTCTCTCTCTCTCTCTCTCTCTCTTATATATATATATATATATATATATATATATATGTATAGCTAAATTATGTACACCTTATTTACAAATCGTCGTATGCACAGATCTTCTGTGTTGTGCCTGTTACTGTGTCGCTTTGTGTTCTCCTTTCACGTCTATCTTCCATGTATCTCCCCACAATACTTGTTCATTTGCTCTCTTTCTCCGACATCAGATCTATCTTCCTGGTATTTGATATTTTTATGCCGATGAACTCTTTATATATTACTGAGCAATCTCATTACAGTAGCTCACACCATAATGCCACATCGAAAGATACACTGTCTGTTGTCGACATAGAAATTTGCACCAATGTGCAGCAGTTCAAGTCGCCACACTCTCTCCATGTAGCACACAAAGCAAGAGAAGAAAGTACAAGAAAAGCATAATAGAGACAGTAAGCAGAAGTGTGAGACAAAGGAATAGTAATTGATATGTATCCACATATATATATTTATGTGTGTGTGTGTATGTTGGTCTCTCTTTCTGTTTGCTCGCTTAGTCTGTGACCATTTCACTTGTATGAACCTGTCTCCTTTAACAATGTATATTCCCCTTATATTATATATAATATGAGTGTTGACAGTCCGTCGCTTGGTGACATATATCCATATATGGTGGTTGTTGACATGTGTGCTATATTTTGCTATGTATATTTGGATCGACACTCCATTATAATTAGCCATTCATGTTAAGACTGTCTAATGATTGTTCACACCCTTGTCATATATATTTCGCATTCACAATTTGTGTGACTTACTTACACTTGTAACAACAGAAGACAAGGGCCAGGCAACAGATCGTTTTATTATGAAAATCAACACGTATTTATACATCTTTCAACTACATTATTATAGACAAGCGCAGTCATCTGATTGGTTGTTTAGGTAGACAAACGCAGGCTTCTGATTGGTTGTTTCGGGATTCCTTGACAAATAGAGTTCTCTCTGCGAATCATATTTTGCCACGTTAACTTTGCTGTGATTGGTTGTTGACTCAGGCTTGTTCACGGCCCATATTAGTGACCTAGACCTTAACGTAGATTAGTGCCAACCAATCGGCTAGCAGCCTGCTCTCACCACACTCGTCCCCCCGTCAAATACGTGCGACTGAAGTCGGCTTGATCTACTTGGTGCAGGCGTCATCGTTGGCTTGTCTCGCTGTATCCATTTCTGGAGCTCGCTGACGTTCACGCGCCTCTTATTGTTCGCCATTGCGACTGTGTCTGCGTAACCCCATCTCGAAGTGACCATATATGGTCCTTCCCACTTTGGAAACTGTTTGCCTGACCCTGTCGAACATTCGTCCATACTTCGGCCCACACCTTCATATGCTGCTTTCGCCCGACCTCCCAGCAGCGTCTCAAGTAGCAGCTCCATCGCTGACAGATCTTGAACGCCACTCAACTGCGCAGAAGCCTTGAAGTCCTGCCCGAAGATCCATATGTCTCCATCAAAAACTGCAGGGTATAGGCTTTTCATTTTCGGTAGGCAGCGACACCAAATGTAACAACAGAAGACAAGGGCCAGGCAACAGATCGTTTTATTATGAAAATCAACACGTATTTATACATCTTTCAACTACATTATTATAGACAAGCGCAGTCATCTGATTGGTTGTTTAGGTAGACAAACGCAGGCTTCTGATTGGTTGTTTCGGGATTCCTTGACAAATAGAGTTCTCTCTGCGAATCATATTTTGCCACGTTAACTTTGCTGTGATTGGTTGTTGACTCAGGCTTGTTCACGGCCCATATTAGTGACCTAGACCTTAACGTAGATTAGTGCCAACCAATCGGCTAGCAGCCTGCTCTCACCACACACTTACTTTTGGTGTGGTACCACTTTTGCATTCTCCTTGTGTTTGGAAAATAGAAGTATCATCGCAAACCTAGTGGTCTTCTGATTTCCGCCTTCTTGCGTCAGGAATATTAGTTTCTCGACCAGTCCATAACAATAATTTAGCGACGAGTACATAACAGTAATAACGAAGAACAAAACAGTTTCATTGGAAATCATAAGTCACAAGGAGTGGATGCATCTGCACCAACCAGCCATTGAGAACGACTCACAGCCATGTCACTGATTGTTTCCAACCATTGATTTTTACCGTCCCGAGAGCTCCAACCAGTCAGGAAGTCTACACCTTCATACGTGACTGGCTTAAACTAACTGTTGTAGATTTCATTGACTGGTGCCATGTTTTGGTTTGACCGCCGTTAGCCAGCTCTTTTCCAGTTTGACCCTATATCAGCTAACATTGACCGTCAGTCGAGGAAGGCGATGACTAGGCATAAGTAACACATGTAGCTTCACGATCTCGTCGATTGATTTCCCCTCCGACTCACCTAGCACTCGACCCGTGCCTAACCGCAATATTGCTCACCTTATTATACCACCAAATAACACGGAAGATAGAATGCAGGCAACTATGATCAAAGACAGCTAATCTTTTCATGTCTTCCACTCTCAATGACCAGGTCTCACAGCCATAAAGGAGGACGGAGCGGACTGTTGAGCGGTACACACGCCCTTTGGTTGACGGCCGGTCGCATATCACGTCTACACGATATACAGCGTAAACTGACATGTGTGAAACTAGCCGCCTGTATCCGTGCTGAGATTTCGTCAACGATCAACCCATTGGAACTGGCTGATGCAACTTCCTAAATAAGTGAAGCAATCAACGTGATCTACCACTCCACTCCACATTTCTAAACTAGGAATCAGTGTAGTCCAGAATACTACTTTAAGAGACACACATCTTAAGGGTGTGAAGTTTTAGAATAAGACAAAACAACTCTACACAAGACTGAGGGAGAATTTCGGATTAATTTAGAATAATGTTACGATGTTTAAGTGTAAACAACAGAAGACAAGGACCAGGCAACAGATTGTCTAATGAGAAAACCAACAGATATTTATAGAGGATTTAATCATGAGCTGACATCAGTTAGAGAACCACTGGAAAACCTGGGAGTACTGGCGAGCTCGCCTTGCAACCAGAAGGTCCTGGGTTCGAACCCCGGTGGGTGCGTACTGTTGAGGAGTCCTGAACTAGGACGAAAAAGCTGTCCAGTACTCCCAGGTTTTCCAGTGGCTCTCTAACTGATGTCAGCTCATGATTTAATCCTCCATGCAATCAAACAAAATCCCTGCAAAACCAATACTTGAAGATATTTATAGATTTTTATGTACATTATCATTAGCATTATTGTTAACAGAGAAGCGAAGTCTTCCGATTGGTTGTTTTCTTGCTGAAGGTTATTCTGTCATCTCTTTGTGAACGCTTCTTATAACAGTCCGGTCTGCGAATCGTATCTGCCCACGTTAAGTCTGCTGTGATTGGTTGTTGAGTTCCTCAAGGCTAGGCTTTGTACTTGTTTTTTTTCTCATGGTCCCGATTCGGGAGGTAAACACTGACGTAAATTGCTGCTTACCAATTTTGGCTTGCAGACAGCTCTTACCACATAATGAGAACATTTTTTGGATTAAGGTAGGAGTGAGTCAGTTACAGTGTAGAATATTGCTCAGAAGCGCAGTACTTTAAGCTGCCATACTCTTTAAAGCACACAAAGGTAGAGAAAAGAGAGAGAGAGAGGGAGGAAAGAAAGTCAAGAGAACCATAATGAGCAAAGATGTACAGTAGGAAGAGTGATAACATGGAAAAACATGAGGGACTAGTGGATCTCTGTGGGAGATTACACAAAAATAGCGAATGCACCTGAGCTATTGAGAACGGCTTAGAGACATACTACCAACAGTTTCAAGGTATTCTTTACACTGAATGCTCCAATATGAAGTTGCCAGTGTGTTTTTCAGAGGCTTCAACAGTAGTGTTTTTCTGGTTAGCGTTGCTATTAATGGTCACAGAGTTATGGGAAGGTGACACACCTCATAGCAGTGTGTCAGGCGTTACTACTTTCCAACTATTCGCACTGTCTGTCTGTCTGTCTGGATTCAACATAGAACTTGGCACCGAAGTGCACCAGTTCGAGTTGCCACGTTCCAAATAGCACACAGAGGTAGACAAGAAGATGAGTGAAGAGAATCAATAGAGTTTGACAAGTATAAGAGTGAAACAGAATGGGTAATGGTAGAAAGGAATATGAAAGATTACAGAGACTGAATACATCTGCGCCATTGACAACGATTTTGAGCCATGTCACCTATTGTCTCCAGCCATTGATTCCTAGAGTCCCGAGGGCCCCAACCCGGGAGTCTGCATCTCCCTACCTGACTCAGTTTAACTGTCAAGGATTTCATGGATTGATGCCATGTTTTTGTTTGGCCACCACTGGCTCTTTTCCAACCTGAACCTATATCAGCTAGCAATGCCCGTCGGGGGAGGCGGTGGTTAGGCATGCGCACCACGTGACCTAGCCATCTTAGTCTATGTAACTTTATAGCCTCGTCGATTGATTTTCCCTCTTTGCCCAACACTCTACGCCTAACGTCAACATTACTTATCTTGTGAAACCACCTAACGTGAGACAGAGATCGCAGACATCTATGATCGAAAGCAGTCAACCTTTTCATGTCTTCAACGCGTATTGGCCATGTTTCAGAGCCATAGAGAAGGACGGAGCGAACTGATGAGCAGTACACACGTCCCTTGGTTGATAACCGGATGTCACGCCTACGCCAGAGATGGTGTAAGTCAGCGAAAGCAGCTCGAGCTTTTCGGATCCGTGCTGAGATTTCATCGCCAATCAGTCCGTTGGTGCTAATACAACTTCCCAAGTAGGTGAAGTGGTCAACATGTTCTA